TAGGCAAGACAGTGTTACAGTTCTTGTGCACTGCAAACTTACTCAATGAGATCTATCTACCTACAAAGTTTCATGTTGATATCTCTTATACATTTAGAGTTATGTCCCAGACAAAGTTAAAAGTGTAAAAATAAACAAAGGGGGATAATTCAAAAATTAGGCAAGGTAGAGTTACGGTTCTTGTGCACTGCACTTCAACTCAATGAGATCTATCTACCTACAAAGTTTCATGTTGATACCTCTTATACTTTTAGAGTTATGTCCAGGACAAATTTCAAAGTGTAAAATAAACAAAGGGGGATAATTCAAAAATTAGGCAAGGCAGTTACGGTTCTTGTGCACTGCACTTCTACTCAATGAGATCTATCTACCTACAAAGTTTCATGTTGATACCTCTTATACTTTTAGAGTTATGTCCCGGACAAAGTTCAAAGTGTAAAATAAACAAAGGGGGATAATAAATAAAATAAGGCAAGGCAGAGTTACGGTTCTTGAGCACTGCACTTCTACTCAATGAGATCTATCTAACTACAGTCGAGACTGCCTTAGCGACCCCCTGATTTAAACGACTCCCTGTCTTATCCGACCTTGTTTCAGTACTCCCAACGTATTTTCCTATATAAATGGTCTGAATTAAACGACTCCCTGTCATATGTGACAAGCGACCCTAATTGTCAGGTCCCAATGCAATGTTTGGTCTGATTTAAACGACTTTCACACCTATTAATTGTCCGTTAAATCAGATAAATAATACCTATTATAACACCCAGAGGGCGAAAATAATTAAGTCCAATTATAATCCAGTAGCAAACAAAGTCTACACACCTCTATCTCAATTACACAGTTGACATGTATAAATGCAGGTATCAAGTGACGTAGCGTCTGTTTATGGGAAGCATGACGCAATCGATGTGTGTGTAATGTACATTATGGCCTGAGTAAACTGGTTAAGACTTGTGTTAGATTTTTTTTTAATTATAGAGTGCCCACGGAAGATTTTTCAGGCAGCATATTTTTTTTATTTACCTTTCTATGACTGCATAATTAATATGGTAAAAATATTTATACTAAACCAGAAAAAGCTTTGGATATGGATATGTTGAAAGATCCTGTAACACAATTTTTCATGGTTTGATTTCATAAATATGATGCTCAAATTAAGATTTGTCAATATTGTAAGTTCAAATAAGCATTATTTATAAAGATATCACCCAATTTAACATTTAATATAAATAAAGGCCATTAAAGGGAGGTAATTAGAACTTTATTTTCTATGAATTCTAAGTTAAATTTTCCAATAAGTAATCAATGCATGTAATTTATTGATTAAATATAATGTGCACAAATATTTTCAGTACACATTTTACATATTCTTTGATGTTTGAAAGTTGTTTTATTTGCATAATTATATCCATATATACTTTTTTTGCAAGTGTTGTTGGCGTCCGCGCCGAAGCGCGGCGCCTATTGGAATGAAATGAGATTTTGTGAAAGGGCGACAGCAACTTCTCGAGCCTTTTATAGTTGCCAATAATAAAAGCCGATCATTCCGATCGGTATGAGGGTGCTTGATTATTAATTATAGTCGCGATATGTACAATGAATGGCGAACTGGAGAATTTCGCAATGCAAACATTTTCAAATGAAATAACCTTTTCCATCAATAAATCGCGCTCTTCGGGGTATTTTTGCTTATCATTTTGTAGTACATAGTGGGTTATTATGGTATGTTATATACACTCTGTAACAATACCAATCACAAAACATAAAGGATCTTTAAGTCACAATGGTATATATTTAGACAGCTAGATGATACTTAAGTTTTTAATTTTCTTTGAGACTGTATTAAGTAAAATTAAAGAGACTAGACCTGTCATATGTGACCTTTTTCTGAAGATCCTTGGAAAGCACATATGACAGTCTCGAGCTGTACAATGTTTCATGTTGATACCTCTTATACTTTTAGAGTTATTGTCCGCGACAAATTCAAAGTGTACTACAAATTAAACTAACAAAGGCGGATAAAATTCTAAAAAATTAGGCAAGGCAGCATAGTTACGATGTTCTTGTGGCGTAGCACTGCACACACCTACTCAATGAGATCTAGTCATACTCTACAACAAATTTTCATGTCTCGAATCCACCTCTTAGTCATTTAGAGGTTATAATTTTTGAGCAACGAATTAGCAAGATGCAGACGGAGGCAAGTCTCAAAATGTGTATAATAAATCTATATATGACAAGGCTTGTATAATAATCACATTATGATCTATGAGACCAATGGATAGACTGTTACCCGGTACTTGTTATAGTGCACGCACTTCTACTCAAGATGAGATTATGCTACCACTAACAATATGTTATCTCAATGATGTAGTCATCTTCGTAGGTCTTTTAGACTATATTTGAAAGAGGTATGCCGGCAATTTATCGAGTGTATAAAAGTAAAACGAAATGTGAGGTGGTAGATTCTTAAGGGAATTCGAGCAAGGGGTGCAGACAGAGTTACAGGTTATGAGTGCACTTGCAATACTACTGCAGAACTTGAGAATCATCTGGTCTTAGCCTATACAAAGTTTCTCTATTGTTGATTGTAGCCAGTTACCTCTTATATCTTTTAGAGTTATGTCCCGGACAAAGTTCAAAGTGTAAAATAATCAAATTTGGGGGATAATTCAAAAATTAGGCAAGGCAGAGTTACGGTTCTTGTGCACTGCACTTCTACTCAATGAGATCTATTCTACCTACAAAGTTTCATGTTGATACCTCTTATACATATTTTTAGAGTTATGTCCGGACAAAGTTCAAAGTGAAAAAAATAAACAAAGGGAATAATTCAAAAATTAGGGGCAAGGCAGAGTTACGGTTCTTGTGCACTGCACTTCTACTCAATGAGATCTATCTACCTACAAAGTTTCATGTTGATACCTCTTATACTTTTAGAGTTATGTCCCGGACAAAGTTCAAAGTGTAAAAATAAACAAAGGGGAATAATTCAGAAATTAGGCAAGGCAGAGTTACAGTTCTTGTGCACTGCACTTCTACTCAATGAGATCTATCTACCTACAAAGTTTCATGTTGATACCTCTTGTTGTTACAAAGTTATGTCCCGGACAAGAAAAGGGGACGGACGGACGGACGGACGGAAAGACGGACGGACGGATGGACGGACGGACATGGCGGCGACTATATGCTCCCCCGAAATTTTTTCGGGGAGCATAAAAATCAATGCATAATCAAATGCCATAATAAGAGGTTTGTGAGAGTAATTCTACTGGTAAAAAATAGATTTTATTCATTTTTTCATCAATTTTTCTTTCAATTCATTAAAAAATAAATTTCTAATATATTATTCAGTTAATCTAAGTAAATTATTACACTAGATCAAAGAACTACATTATAATATTATGCTATAACAAGGCATGGTGTATGTAATATTTCAATCATAAAAACATTCAACATTTACATGTTACCTTAAAAGCTGTACAAATATTGATATACTTAAAGTATCAATTTTTGTCAAGTTCATTGATCAGAAAATTTGAATCAGGATAAAGTGTTTATACAGATATAGGTATTAGATTTATTTGCTGAACACTTCATTTGATTTACAAGTTATTCTACAAGGGTTTTACATGTATCACAAAGAAAGCCTATAGAAATATAAAAAAAGGCAAATATTGACAAGGTTTTTAATTCTAGTGTGAAAGTCTACCTAAAAAGGTCATTTCAATTGACAGACTAACAAAAGCGACAAAATAATCAAAATGTTATTAAAGTCTGTAAAAGAATTTTTTGATAGTGTAAAATACTTAAATGAAGGTAGATAACATATATTGTGATCAAAAAATTGGCAATTTACACATTTAGTACAATAAATCTATTGAAATTAGCACAGAAAAAATGTAATACTAGTTACCTGAATAGTTAGACTGCCATTTCAGGAAATATTTCAATCACCAATATAATGACAATTTGTTATTCACAAAATAAGTTTGATTGATAAGTACAGATTTATTATCAGTCAATTACTCTTAATATGTATAAAAGTGCAGCAATAATACATAAGTACATGTTTTTATTGTTGTTGTTGTTGTTGTTGTTGTGGGGTTTTTTTTTGTTGGTTTTTTTTCTTTTCTTTTTTTTGTGGGGGGGGGGGGGGGGGTGTCATAAAAAAAAGAGGCTGAATGAAAAAAAAAATTGTTAAATATTCAATTTAAGCTTAAAGCATAATTTTTATAAATTCTTACACAAACATTTTAACAAATTTTCAATTTTGTTTTTAACAATTTTATTTTTTTATTTTTTGCATGCTGGATTTTTGCAATAGCTTGACCTATTTTAAGTTTGGATAAGTCATTGGGAGTTTTAATCAGTTTTAAAATAAAACCAGCCAACATCAGAGTGGTGTTGATTGAATTCCCACTCCCCTGCCTAGACCCCTTCAATAATGTTTTTCATAGATTCTGAATGGCACTGAGCAATTAAAAGGCAATAAGAATTGATCATAGATAAAACTACAGACAACAGTCCACCAGTTTCCATGGCAACTTTGGCATAAAGTCATGCATGCAACTATCTCATACAGTCTAATCAGGGGTGGGCGTTAAACAGTATAGTACTACAATTGCCTCAAATTGCACAATTGGATCTTAATGTTTTTTTCCAATCAGAGGAAGCCGTCAAGACTCTATTCAAAAAAGTTTTAGAAAGATTAAATATTAATGATTGAAATTGCCTTGAAATACAAGTGGTATGCCAGGTCTGTATATCAACATTTATTCATATACCAGATTTTACTGAGGGAAAAAGCAGTCTCAGTCAGATTTTATGGATTTGCGCACTGGTCTGGCATACTCAAATCGCCTTCACAGAGTGCAACAGAAGTGCAGGGAATGGGGATCTAACATCATGCTTTCCAAAATACACATATGTATATTTGAAAATCAAAGTTTAAAAGTAACATTACTGTTTAATAGATGACAGATAAAACTGCTTACCCGTTTTGGAATTCTGCCATCAACAACTACTCCCATCAATGCAGTGTAAGGAGCGCTTTGTGTTGCCCTAGAAAATAACAACTGCATTTAATTATGGGAAAAAATCAGAGCTGTCTGATTGTCACAAACCAATTCTGGAAATTTTAGGTCTTACAAATGTACATGCATCTATTAAAACATTTTGTCATTACTATCAAGCATGAAACATTTTATTTAGGACCAAATCAATAATCAGTTAAAATCCTGAGGGTCAAATCAGGCTTATTGAAGATTTGAAGGGTCAAAGGGTCATTTCAAGGGTCAAATGGACACCCTGATTCAATTAATTACATCATGCAATATACTAAAATGTTTCCTCATATTATATATGTATAAAATTGCTTAGTGTTAGAGTGTATTAGGCCTCCCACTTAACTAAAAGTGATTGTAGGCTGCAGGGATCTGGCTTTATAACTTAAATATAATGCAGTCTAAATCCTGCTTCATTATAATTATTTGACAGAAATATAATAACTGGTCCACCATGATAGCAAACAAATTAACATGGATTTAATCAGCATTGTAAATGCGCAAATTTGGACAGAATATCATAACTTTTTGCAGAAATGAGTAAAATATTGTTCTGTGTTGCAAAAAATGTACAGGTGTAAAATTCTTTGCATGAATTCCATTGAATAGTGAAATTACTAAAATTGGTCAATTTTGACCCATCTCAACACTGGTCCATATGCAAATATGACACTGCTGTTAAATAAGTTACAGAAGTTTCCGATCGGTTAACGCGTCGGACTAGTAATCTAATGATCACTAGCCGCATGGGTTCAAACCCCATCAGGGGTGAGCCGTTGTTTCCTTGAGCAAGAAACTTTACACTCATTGCTCAGCTACTTAGGCCCTACTGGTTGGTTCCAGGAACGGATTTGAAAGTGTCTATACTATATATATATATACTGGCATGCGAGCAGTTCCCATACAGAAGCAGTACCCGTATTTTTTATTTAAACGCTTGATTTTTACTTGCATTCTTTAAAAATTCATTTCAAATCAGAGCTCCAGATAATTTTTTTGGCCAAGGGGTTTTTACCCCTCAAAATTTAGAGTGAGGGGTAAAATGTAAAATCTGAAAAACTTAAGGGGTAAAATCTGTCCAAAAAGCATTTTGCATTTTTTATGAACAAATTAAACTTATTGTTTTCGTTTGTTTGTTTATTTTCTTTTTTTTAGAAAAACCTTTAAAAATAAAATACTGATTCAATGTGAAGCAATACAAAACGTGCCCTGTAAAGTAAGACTTCCAGAGTATACTGGAACTCAAGTTTAGGATACACAGCAAAATTATCAGGGCTTCCATTTTCAAAATTTGGAAGTCAAAGACTTCAAAATCTCTGATATTGGAAGTCACATTATATTGGTAAAGAAGGAAGAGTATTAGATTTTCGGAAGTCACATGCCAAAATGAAGGAGTAATTAAATGACACCCAAACTTCAACTAGTGGAAGCCCGAAAATTAATAAATTTTCTAGGAGTCAATATTTTTCTTTCTTTATTTCTGTTGGCATGTAGCTTATCATGTGCCCCAGTTTGAACAATTAAAGTTGAAATTAGAATTAAAGAAAAAAAAAGATTTTATATTTTTCATTAAAAAAAGTATTGGTCTGAGAGAAAATTGTCCGTAACTGTAGACTGGGTACGAAAATATTGAGTACAAAACTGCAGGTGAACAAAGCGTGTTATTTTGTGCCAACAACAAAAGTGAAAGAAATTAAAATATATTTTTGTTTATATTGAGACATAAGCATGAAAATAGATGCCTTAACAAACTTAATACTATTTTAACTCCTACGATGGTTATCTGGCAAAAATTTATATCAATAATTTCACAGGTTGATCTACGGGAGTTACCTCCCTTCTGTACTTCCTGCTACTTTCGTTTTTAACATGCGTTGTTGACAACAGACTTTTAGTTTTCAATGCAATAAAATGGAAATATATTGTATTTTTATGCTCAAAACATCCCCTATCTGAATATCAAATGTTTACACTTTTATTCTTTTACGCCTAAATTTTGACATACAAGCGTATTTTCATTTTGTTGTGCGTAACTGTGACGCACGAATTTTGAAAGTGATGCGTATTTTAGATTTTCTATGCGTATTTTACGCTTATACGCACGCTATCTGGAGCTCTGTCAAATCAAGCAGATACATAAACGAGACAAAATCTAAGTGTCAGTTCAGCAATACGCATTAAAAGTCTCATTTTAAATCACTTTCACCTGTGCGTCGTCAAAACGTGACCTTGTTTTCTCTGGGGGATTCCGTCCTTGCGCGCATGCGCAAAAATATTTACACGTGAGGCTTGTTAAAGGGTTTTCCACTAATACCAACTGTTTACAGATAAGTAGGCAATGTGATTAAAACTTGTTTAATTATCAGACTTTTGACCAATATTACCACTTAAAATAATTTTATGGTTTTGATGCGTAAAATATCATGTATACAAGCATGCTATTGCATGTGAATGCGTTGGGGTAACGGTACCGGGTAATAGATACCCGCGTTTAGTCTACGGTCTATTTCCTGAATTACATCTATTTGTTTCTTAGATAATGGTCTGTTCAACAATTGTAAATGAAAAATAGGTCCGATATAATAAAATTGTATAATTACAATGGGTTAGATTTTATGTACGGGAACTACTCCTCTTCATACAAAATAATCAATAATTTCGGTACCCCATATGAGGCCTCATAAGTAAGGGTTATTCTATGTTTAGAACATGATGGAATTTCCATGATTTGTGTGACGAGCCGAATATTGATGTGTAAAATTCAAATTTTGGTGAGTGAGCGTAATAAAAAATAATGTTTAAGTAACTACGATTTTTGTACGGGAACTGCTCGCATGCCAGTATAGCTTATGTATTTTGTTATATTATTTGAATGCTAAATATGCCAAATTCTCTAAATAAATTTAAATATAAATAATTGTGCAAAAGATATCAAATTCTACATGCCCTTCACAAAATGTCACACACATGTACTGATTCTATCAGTGATAACTTATATCATACTGATACACAAAATAACAGAAAACATCAATGTGACTGATTCAATGCCGATTTATTTTCATTCCGACATATGATACAGACCTTGGATATGAAAGAGTTGCTTTGGGAGCTCCAACTGGTATAGCAGGAAAGTAAGACGACTGAACGCGCTGCTGAACGTAAAGACTTGACTGAGATACTTCCGTCATTTTGCCCGTGGAACCGACTTTTGTATGGCAAGTCAATATACTTTTAACCATGCACTTATATCCTCCAGGGAATATAAATCACAATAAAGGGGGAATCACAGCGCTTAAAAAAATAACTGATCTCCGTCGTTCTCACATTATTTCTTAAAATCCGTTATGACATACAGAAACACTCATATCGGCCATTTTAATTGGTTGCTACGTACGCGTAATCGAATCCGCGGGAAATAGCTGGTTCTCTTTTCATTACTCAAGCGCATCTACTGCGCAATGACGTAAAGTCAGAAACCAGTCATTTACCATTCGTTCGATTTACGTTGTGTCACTAAGTAGTTTAATCGAATTGACTGTTTTTATTTTTCCTGCATATTGCAATATCGGAAAGAATAATGCGCAAATTGTGAAATAAAGGTTTAGTTAAAGATACATTTTTAGTCCCAGGTTATAACAAGAACTCGTACATCAATATAAATTATGCCCGAACTTGAACTTGGTTTAAACTACTGAGATATCAGATTGAAACTTTGTGGGTGAATTATCCTATCTGGGTCTTTCAAATAGAGTATTTTATTATAAAGACCCTGATTTTTATAATAAGCCGGTGCTTTTGGGCTTATTGTCCTTTGATGCTACATTGCCTTTTTTGTCCTCTTGAGAATCCATTAAATTGTTTGGCATGGGATTTGTCGGTATGTCAGAGACGTTAAAATACATGTATTTATATGTCTCTGGGTATGTTAACTGTTATAAACTTCAGTCTGACATTACCTAGTTTTATGGATATTAACAAAACCTGGTTTCACTTCTTGATATTTATACTTTTATTAAACATTTTATATTAAATTACAAAAAGCCTTGTCCCTTTTGTTATAATGAAAATAATACTTGTTTGCATTTATATAATAATAATTGTTTGCAAGTATGTTTATATTATATATAATATTATAACCCATAATGGTATTTATTTCATATATTTATCAAATTTAAAAAGTGGAGCTGAAAAGACCTGGGTTTTGAAGGTGAAACGTCCAAGGGTGAAACATCCAGGAGGTGTAAAGTCCAAACACCCATCTAATTACAATCAAGTATACCAAGGACATCATGACAAGTTCTGCAACACCCAGTCGATTTCTCAAAAATGTTTTACAGAATGGCGTCGGAAGACATGTGTGTCAGCTACAAAGGATAACACTTTCTCTGTGCAAGTCACATCCCTCAAGTCATGCTGCTAGGTATCGTTAAATGCAACATGTCTCAATTGTACATATATTCGGATAGTCGCAAATTAGGATGCATTGCAAAATCGGAAACCATAATTTTTAGCTATTTGGATATTATTTCTGATTGAGACAATGCATGATTTGTCTTGAAATTCTAATGTAAGAGTTTTCATGTCGGGGCTTTTTTTCCTTTTATAACAGGGACCGATATAAGGCCCATTCGCAAAGCGGCAGAAAAAAATCACAATTTCAAGAGAGATTTCACAAAATGTTGGGACTTTGTCTTCGAAATACATTGTTTACCTTCTGGTAAAACTTGATTTACGCCAATTGCAATAACTTAGAAATAGTTTTTATCAAGTTAAATGGTTGTTTAACAGGGTTAAAAGACTTGAAGCAGATTTCTATCATTTTACACAGGTCTGAAATTATAATCAACCATTCGAGGTTTCAGAATGTCGTGAAATGCCAAGTAATGTCATTTGTTTTTCTTCACAATTTTATGACATACCTGGCTTTTTTTTCACGAAATGAACAGACCCAGATCACTTCACAATTTTTACAAAAAATGCCCTGCATTATGTATTGTTCTTTAAAATTGTGAATGTAGCTGGGAATAAACACAATATGTAAAAACAAGAGCTGTCACTCAAGTGAAGAATGCCCCCGAATAGGTTTCTTAAGCATGCATGTATTATGAAAAGAAAAGAGAATGAAAGTAACTAATTGCTTAAAATTGTTCTTGTGAAATGAAGTGCTATTTATAGCAAACGTAACGCGATTTTAATATGCTTCCTTCTGGGGGCATAATTAATTACAACCAAACATTTCATTATAATTTCAATTATTTGGCAAAAAACAATACATTTGCTTGAGATATTTTAAAATGATTCGTTTAAATAGCTCAGATTTCATCAAGTTGTAGATAACTTGTAATATACTGAGACAGCATTTCTTGCATATTTGACGCACATTACTTACACATGATGCAACAAAATCCAAAGCGTGCACTTTCCTTGACACAAGTTCATTATTCCAGGGTTTTACGGGACGCAGAATTCTGCGTCCCTATACGCATAAATTTTGACATGTACGCATATAAGTTATCCACTTGCGTCCAAGTGTACGCACAAAAATAATCCTAGACAATAGATATTATTGTTTCTGACCCGACATGATTTTATCTCTTTCTTCTCGAAGCTCACTAAATTCCATTTTAATCTAATACAGCGTGCAGAAATGCTTGCATTTGTTTATTTCGGAAGTTAACATAATTGAAATCTACTGCGCATGCTATTTGCAAGTGCCCGCTGCTGAAACTGATGACGTTTATCGTGCAAGCTACAGTAACTGATGACGCTTACCGTAAAATGTATTTTAGGTAGCCGTTTTTGGTTTTTCTGTTGCTATATTTAGACATACTATTTATAACAAGCAATTACTATTGGTTAGCGTATCCAAAATGTCGACCTACCAGTTCGGCGAATGTATTTTGTACATGAACCGCAATAATAAAAAAGTAGTGCTTTTTGCAAACCTATTTTCATGTAGTGTTAAAGAAATTAAGTTACTGGGTATGTTATTATCGTTGGTGTTATAAATATAATGGTTTCAGCGAACTTAAATTATGAGGAGGTGCAAAAGCGGTTTCGTCGGCCTTTTTGTATGATATTTTTAAAAACGCAACATATTTAGCTGACTGGTCTGTAAAGATATCTATTGTGACTAGTTCAATATAATAAAATATTTACAAATAGATCAGTACAAATTTTCAGTCTGTTGGTGTAATCACCTTATCAATAACAAAATATGCTACTAAAACTTGACATTCCAGCCACTCAAAGACTTAAATAAGCCTTGGAAATAGCACATGACATTATTGTAAAGGGCTATAAAAAACCTAGTGATAAAAGATATTGAAATCATACTTCTTAAGTTATGAAAACAGTACAATATACATGTATATTTCTCACAGGTAAGTGATTTTATGCAAAATAGAGTGGTCTTCATAGTCTTTTATAGTGAATATAATTTTGGACCCCTAAAATTCAGGCCTGGACCCCTACTTTTCTAGGCTGTGCATCCACTGGACCCCTAAAATTTCAAAGAGATGTAAAACCCTGTTATTCAGTGAAAGGTGTCATTGTCTCCAACAATAACAGCCAAAAGGCCCATCACGAGTTAACTTTAATTAATCAAAAGAAGTTGTTACAGAAAACGTTAAATCTCAGGACAGTGTTGCTTGAGTAACAAATGAGATGTCTACTTACAATATATAATCACTTCAGCATCAAATCAAGATTGAGATTATGTTTAATTTAGACAGACCTCATTCTTGGCTTGTTTAAACATTATATGTTAAAAAATTGTGGATTTGTATATGAAAGTCATCATACCATACCTTTATCTTTCTTTCAGGGAGTTTGTTGAACAAGATTTGCTTGATTTTACACAACAAAATCCTGGAATTGTAGTTTACATAAAGCCAAGAAGACATAGAACTCCCATGCTTAGGGCAGAATATTGTAAGAAATTTTATGTCACTTACATTAAACAAAAAATTTTGCCTTTAGTAATGTTATCAAAGTATTGTCAAGGTATAGGAAATTTATTTGAGCCATGTCACGACAAAACCAACATAATGGGTTTGCGACCAGCATGGATCCAGACCAGCCTGCGCAGTCTGATCAGGATCCATGCTGTTCGCTATCAGTTTTTGTGTCGCCTTGAAAAGGAGACATATAGGGGTTACTTTTGTCGGCAGCGTCGTTGTCGGCGTCCCCTAAAGCTTGTCCGGAGCATAACTCAGTCACTATAAGTCTGATTGACTTCAAACTTGGTATGCATGCTTCTTTCAATAACCCGAAGTGCAGTGCACAGAACCAGTACTCTGTAGTTCTTATTTTTTGAGTTATTGCCCTTTGTTAATTTTCATACTTTAATTTTGTCCGGGCCATTTCTCATCAACTAAAAAGCTATGGACTTCAAACTTCATAGGATGATAGATCTCATTAAAAAGAAGTGCAGTGTGTAAAAACCGGTACTCTGCACTTCCTATTTTTTGAGTTATTGCCCTTTGTTAATTTTCATACTTTATCTTTGTCCGGGCCATTTCTCCTAATGTATAAAAGCCATGGACTTGAAACTTTATAGGATGATAGATCTCATTAAGAAAAAGTGCAGTGCATAAGAACTAATACTCTGCATATCTTATTTTTTGAGTTATTGCCCTTTGTTGATTTTCTTACTTTATTTTTGTCCTGGTCATTTCTCCTCAAGTATGAAAGCTATAGACTTGAAACATCATAGAATGATAGATCTTATTGATAAGAAGTGCAGTTCACAGAAACTGCTGCTCTGCACTTACTATTTTTTTAGTTATTGCCCTTTGTTATTTTTCCTATTTCATTTTTGTCCTGGCCATTTCTCCTAAACTACATTGGCGACACATCCGACTCGCGGAGTTCTAGTTTAACTTGTAATAGAGTTGGTAAGCGAACAGCATGGAGCCTGATCAGACTGCGCGGATGCGCAGGCTGGTCTGGATCCATGCTGGTTGCAGATGCACTATGTTGGTTTTGTCATGACGCGGCTCATTTGTTCTGCAGTCAAGCACTCAATGAGCTGTATGATTATTTACTATGTTGTTAATTTGTTTGTTGTTGTTTTTTTATTGATAAATATGTAAACATCTGGGGTCTGCCCTCAACTTATTACATCATATCCTGAACTAATATTTAACCGTAAATTAAAAAAAAATCCCAATTCAGCACTTTTGGAACATGACCAGACCCCAAGAATTGGGAATTTTTATGATATTTCAGACAAATCGGGGAAAATCTGACAACATAAATATTGTATACATCAAATTAGACAATAAAAAAATCAAATACTTAGTTAATTAAACTCCTTTTACATTATTCATGTTCATTATTACATTAAACTAGAACTCCGCGAGTCGGATGTGTCGCCTTGTGAACAATGTAGTTTAGGAGAAATGGCCAGGACAAAAATGAAATATGAAAAATTACAAAGGGCAATAACTAAAAAAATAATATTAAAAGTGCAGAGCAGCAGTTTCTGTGCATTGCACTTCTTATCAATAAGATCTATCATTGTATGATGTTTAAAGTCCATAGCTTTCATACTTGAGGAGAAATGACCAGGACAAAAATAAAGTAAGAAAATCAACAAAGGGCAATAACTCAAAAAATAAGAAATGCAGAGTATCAGTTCTTATGCACTGCACTTTTTCTTAATGAGATCTATCATCCTATGAAGTACATAGCTTTCATACTTGAGGAGAAATGACCAGGACAAAATTAAAGTAAGAAAATCAACAAAGGGCAATAACTCAAAAAATAAGAAATGCAGAGTATCAGTTCTTATGCACTGCACTTTTTCTTAATGAGATCTATCATCCTATGAAGTTTCAAGTCCATAGCTTTTATACTTTCGGAGAAATGGCTTGGACAAAAATTAAGTATGAAAATTAACAAAGGGCCATAACTCAAAAATTAAGAAATGCAGAGTACCGATTCTTGTGCACTGCACTTCTTCTTAATGAGATCTATCATCCTATGAAGTTTCAAGTCCATAGCTTTTATACTTAAGGAGAAATGGCCCGGACAAAATTAAAGTATGAAAATAAACAAAGGGCAATAACTCAAAAAGTAAGAAATGCATAGTACCTGTTCTTGTGCACTGCACTTCTTCTTAATGAGACCTATCATCCTATGAAGTTTCAAGTCCATGGCTTTTATACATTAGGAGAAATGGCTCGGACAAAAATAAGTATGAAAATTAACAAAGGGCAATAACTAAAAAAATAAGAAGTGCAGAGTACCGGTTCTTGTGCACTGCACTTCTTCTTAATGAGATCTATCATCCTATGAAGTTTCAAGTCCATAGCTTTTTTAGTTGAAGAGAAATGGCCCGGACAAAATTAAAGTATGAAAATTAACAAAGGGCAATAACTCAAAAAATAAGAACTGCAGAGTACCGGTCCTTGTGCACTGCACTTCATGTTATTGAAAGAAGCATGCATACCAAGTTTGAAGTCAATCAGACTTATAGTGACTGAGTTATGCTACGGACAAGCTTTAGGGGACGCCGACAACGACGCCGCCAACACAGACACCGCCGACAAAAGTAATCCCTATATGTCACCTTTTCAAGGCGACACAAAAATTACAAATTTATGTAAGTGTATTAGCTCAAGAAGGGACTGGTTAGGAAACAGAAGAAGGAACAACAGTATTTTTTCAGCTGTTTTGGGAAAAGGCCGCTGGCTTTAACTGCAAAAAACTACCGTGTTATTTTTTTGAAATTTGGGAAAAATGATGATTTTGAGTTAGGAAAGGAGTGATTTATTAGGGTGATGGTGCGAAAATGCCCTGCAAAGATTAGTCATTTAAAACCTCATGATATTCATATGTACATGTTTAGCATATAACCCAACACAAACCATATATACTTTGATTAACTTAAATTCAAAGAGCTGCATCAATTTTTCTACTTTCTACTTTTCAGTAAATGGTTACAAAGAAGATGTTACACTACGGAAATGTAGTAAGGAGGAAATATCACAGTGGATTGGTTTAATGAAAGGCAGATCTGGTGGTCAGATAATGAGACTACGTAAAGAATGGCACACTGACACTCCATCCATTCAAGGTGTATGGCATCCTTTCTTGTTCAAGGACACGAAACTCAATATAACTGACATTAAAGATAAAAGTTTGTCTCAGTATGTATCCCCGTATAAATCGGCTTCAGATAGAGTAAAGGAACTGCAGAAAAGCCATCAAAATCAAACATATCAAAGTGATAATAACAAGACAGAGTGATAAATATTGTGTTAATGATACGGCTTGTGTAGAGACATTTCAATTGTCTTTAGAAAAAGTGGAAAAGGATTGGAATTTGGAAATATAAAATGAAATGAGTTCATAAATGCTCTTTCTTGGCAAGCATCCAATTTATGAATTCAAATACCTTTTGTATAAGAGAATGGATGTTGACTCTACAGTATAGTTTACAATCTATGATTCAAGTATCAATCAAGGTTGAATATCTCATGGAAACAAAAGAAAAACAGACATAATCAAGCAAGGAATTAGGCTTTGGTGCAATGTCATTTGTTTGAGGAACTTTGTGTCATTATTAAAATTTACATTGTATTCAAATAAATGGCTTGTTTTTCTCAACCAAAATTACACCTTTATTGCCATTATATCTTGTTGATTTACTCATTAAAAGTCATTTGAAGACTTGGTGCTCGAAGCTGACTGTTTTTGATTGCAGGTTGTCACTTTTAGCTCATCTATATAATATATGAGCTGCGTCGTGACAAAACCAACATAGTGGGTTTGCGACCAGCATGGATCCAGACCAGCCTGTGCCTCCACTCAGTCTGATCAGGATTCATGTTGTTCGCTATCAGTTTCTCTACTTGTAATAGGGTTTGTAAGCAAACAGCATGGATCCTGGTCAGACTGCGCGGATGCGCAGGCTGGTCTGGATCCATGCTGGTCGCAAACACATTACGTTGGTTTTGTCATGACGCGACTCATTTATTGAGATCTGTCCAACTTGCCTGCACTGCTGTCTGCTTACAGGTTTCTGTTTGAGTTTTTCGTGTAGTAAATTATTTTTTTACTTTGACTTATTGAGTTATTTATGGATTTACTTTAGATATACGTTCCCTCATTTCGAGTCATTTCTGATAAGGTACTTAATTCTTGCACCAATATTTCCAAAATTTAAAATTTTTCCTTTAAAATTGTCTTTTTAGCTCACCTGTCACAAAGTGACAGGGTGAGCTTTTGTGATCGCTTTTTGTCTGGCGTCCATCCATAAACTTATACTTTAAACAACATCTCCTCATAAACCACTTAACCAATTTCATCCAAACTTAACAGGAATGTTTATTTGGTAATCAACTTAAAAAATTGTTCAAAGAATTTAATCCCATGCAGAACTCTGGTTGCCCTAGCAACCAAAAGAAAAAACTTAAAAAAATCTCCTCTAAAAAATCTGAAGAGCTAGAGCTTAGATACTTGGCATGAAACATCATCTAGTCAGTGTCTACCAAGTTTGTTCAAATGAAAGCCCAGGGGTCAAAATTTGCCCCGCCCCAGAGGTCATTGATTTTCCTTATATGTGTATGGTAAAAACTTAAAAACCTTTTAAAGAACCCAAAGAGCTAGAGCTAAGATATTTAGCATGAAAGATCCTCTAATGGGTGTCTACCAAGTTTTTCAAATAAAAGCCCTGGGGTCAAAATTGGCCCCACCCCAGGGGGTCATTGATTTTCCCTATATGCATATAGTAAAACCTTAAAAAATCTTATTTCAAAGAACCCAAAGAGCTAGAGCTAAGATATTTAGCATGAAACATCCTCTAATGGGTGTCTACCAAGTTTGTTCAAATAAAAGCCCTGGGGTCAAAATTGGCCCCGCCCCAGGGGGTCATTGATTTACCCTATATGCATATAGTAAAACCTTAAAAAATCTTCTTTTAAAAAACGCAAAGAGGTAGAGCTTAGATATTTGGCATGAAACATCTTCTAGTCAGTGTCTACCAAGTTTGTTCAAATAAAAGCCCTTGGGTCAAAATTGGCCCCGCCCCAGGGGGTCATTGATTTTCCCTATATGCATATAGTAAAACCTTAAAAAATCTTCTTTTAAAGAACCCAAAGAGCTTGAGCTAAGATATTTAGCATGAAACATCCTCTAATGGGTGTCTACCAAGTTTGTTCAAATAAAAGCCCTTGGGTCAAAATTGGCCCCGCCCCAGGGGGTCATTGATTTACCCTATATGCATATAGTAAAACCTTAAAAAATCTTCTTTTAAAAAACCCAAAGAGGTAGAGCTTAGATATTTGGCATGAAACATCTTCTAGTCAGTGTCTACCAAGTTTGTTCAAATAAAAGCCCTGGGGTCAAAATTGGCCCCGCCCCAGGGGGTCATTGATTTTCCCTATATGCATATAGTAAAACCTTAAAAAATCTTCTTTTAAAGAACCCAAAGAGCTTGAGCTAAGATATTTAGCATGAAACATCCTCTAATGGGTGTCTACCAAGTTTGTTCAAATAAAAGCCCTTGGGTCAAAATTGGCCCCACCCCAGGGGGTCATTGATTTTCCCTATATGCATATAGTAAAACCTTAAAAAATCTTATTTCAAAGAACCCAAAGAGCTAGAGCTAAGATATTTAGCATGAAACATCCTCTAATGGTGTCTACCAAGTTTTGTTCAAATAAAAGCCCTGGGGTCAAAATTGGCCCCGCCCCCAGGGGGTCATTGATTTACCCTAAATGCATATAGTAAAACCTTAAAAAATCTTCTTTTAAAAAACGCAAAGAGGTAGAGCTTAGATATTTGGCATGAAACATCTTCTAGTCAGTGTCTACCAAGTTTGTTCAAATAAAAGCCCTTGGGTCAAAATTGGCCCCGCCCCAGGGGGTCATTGATTTTCCCTATATGCATATAGTAAAACCTTAAAAAATCTTCTTTTAAAGAACCCAAAGAGCTTAGAGCTAAGATATTTAGCATGAAACATCCTCTAATGGGTGTCTACCAAGTTTGTTCAAATAAAAGCCCTGGGGTCAAAATTGGCCCCGCCCCAGGGGGTCATTGATTTACCCTATATGCATATAGTAAAACCTTAAAAAATCTTCTTTTAAAAAACCCAAAGAGGTAGAGCTTAGATATTTGGCATGAAACATCTTCTAGTCAGTGTCTACCAAGTTTGTTCAAATAAAAGCCCTGGGGTCAAAATTGGCCCCGCCCCAGGGGGTCATTGATTTTTCCCTATATGCATATAGTAAAACCTTAAAAAATCTTCTTTTAAAGAACCCAAAGAGCTAGAGCTAAGATATTTAGCATGAAACATCCTCTAATGGGTGTCTACCAAGTTTGTTCAAATAAAAGCCCTGGGGTCAAAATTGGCCCCGCCCCAGGGGGTCATTGATTTACCCTATATGCATATAGTAAAACCTTAAAAAATCTTCTTTTAAAAAACCCAAAGAGGTAGAGCTTAAATATTTGGCATGAAACATCTTCTAGTCAGTGTCTACCAAGTTTGTTCAAATAAAAGGCCTGGGGTCAAAATTGGCCCCGCCCAAGAGGGGTCATTGATTTTCCCTATATGCATATAGTAAAACCTTAAAAAATCTTCTTTTAAAGAACCCAAAGAGCTAGAGCTAAGATATTTAGCATGAAACATCCTCTAATGGGTGTCTACCAAGTTTGTTCAAATAAAAGCCCTGGGGTCAAATTTGGCCCCGCCCCAGGGGGTCATTGATTTACCCTATATGCATATAGTAAAACCTTAAAAAATCTTCTTTTAAAAAACCCAAAGAGCTAGAGCTTAGCTATTAAGCATGAAACCTCTTCTAGTGGGTGTCTAACAAGTTTGTTCAAATAAAAGCCCTGGGGTCAAAGTTGGCCCCGCCCCAGGGGGTCATTGTTTTTCCTTTTATGTATATAGTTAAAACATAAAAAATCTTCTTTTAAAAAATCTTAAAAGCTAGAGCTAAGATATTTAGCATGAAACATCTTCTAATGGGTGTCTACCATTTTTGTTAAATTAAGGGCCCTGGGTTAAAAAATTGGCCCGGCCCCAGGATCATTGATTTTCCTTTTATGTATATAGTAAAAACTGAAAAAATGTTCTATTAAAAAGCCCAAAGAGATAGAGTTTAGATATTAAGCATGAATTATCTTCTAGTGAGTGTTTACCAAGTTTGTTCAAATAAAAGCCCTGGGGACAAAATTGGCCCGCAGAGAGGGTGTGGGTCATTGTTTTTCACTATATGTGTTTAGTAAAAACTTAAAGATTTTCTTAGAGCTAGAGCTTAGATATTTATCATGAAACATCTTCAAATGGGGATCTACCAAGTTTGTTCAAATAAAAGCCCCTGGGTTAAAATTAGCCCCGCCCCGGGGGCCTATATACAGGTGAGCGATTTCAGGGCCATCATGGCCCTCTTGTTTTACTTTCACTTCATTACTTCTTGAAGTATTTACTTCATACTTGTATATATCTTGCTTATTTTCACCCACATCATAATTATGTGATAATGTTCTTAAATTTTACATCAATATTTGAGCCGCATCACGACAAAACCAACATAGTGGGTTTGCGACCAGCATGGAACCGGACCAGCCTGCGCCTCCACACAGTCTTATCAGGATCCATGCTGTTTGCTATCAGTTTCTCTGCTTGTAATAGGGTTTGTAAGCGAACAGCATGGATTCTGATCAGACTGCGTGGATAAGCAGGCTGGTCTGGATCCTCGCTGGTTGGTTTTGTCATGACGCGGCTCATTTCTAGAATACACGTAATTCTCTTTAAACTTAGAATTTTCCACTTTTTTTACTGGTTCATTATCAGGGATATACTTCAAGCTTAAATATGCGTTCCTTGACAACACATACATCATATCAAGGGTTGACAACACATACATCATATCATTCCCCAGGCTAGAAGTTGCCCTTGGGATCTTTTGTTTACACTGGTGTAGGATAATCCTCCCTTTTCTAGATTTGTAGACTTCACAACGGCTGGTTTCAAGTACTGTGTAGCAGCTGAAAAAGGTTACCCTGTACTTCACTTCATTGTTACATTTTTAAGTCCTTCAGAATCATGGATTCCAGCTTATTAAGTCATGAAGATGGAATTCTGCTGAAGCTAGGGGTAAGGATGAGAGATGTTACACTTTCCCATTATCTCTCGTGCACAGACTCAAACTGATTCTGCGCATTTTCATGTAATTATACCCCTGAAACGAAGTTTGGGGGTATAAAGGAGTCACCCGGTGGTTGGTCAGTCCAGCATTTTCCTTGTCTTAAGCATAAATTGAAGACTTATGGCTGGAATTCAAAAAAACTTCATAAAATGGTCAAGCACATTTAGAGAAAGTGCAGTGCACAAGAATCACTACTCTAACTGAAGTAATTACAGAGTTATTGCCCTTTTGTTACATTTCCATTGCTTTCTTTGTCCGGAGCATAACTTGAAGACTAATGGCTGGAATTCAATACAACTTCATAAAATGATCAAGCACATTGAGAGGGATTGCAGTGCACAAGAACCTTCACTCCATCTTTACTAATTACAGAGTTCTTGCCCTTTGTTACTTTTCATTGTCCAGAGCATAACTTGAAAACTACTGGTGGAATTCA